TTTATCCCCCTGCAAGCTTTGAATGTTATAAATAATGCCCAAAGAAATGTGATAAAAGGAAGAAATGGAAACATGTCAACTGCCTGATCCATTTCGAGTCTGAGCAACGCACACTCCTGGTTAAATGGGGTACACAGGAAATGGAGCGCTTTTAACTCCCCGCGTGCTGGGCAGAGTAACAATGCTGTCCTTCCCGGGGAGATTCAAAACGTAGCCTGTATGCAAAAAGCAGCGGGCTTCTTTAATGAACAGGATGTACAAAAACCTATCTGCTCCTCTGGCTAGATCTATTTTTATCGGAAAAGGAAGGAACACGACATTGCGCTTTGTGCCTTTTTGGAAGAGGTGTTCCCCTTCTGGCAAACACAAGCAGCACTACCCGCTTCTACCCTTTAATGCGGAAGGCCGATAAGAGCATTGGCACTTGCAAGAAGCAACGACAGCAGAGGGAAGCAGAGGGAAGTGTGCAGTTCCATCCTCATCCACAAGCAAGTACCCGAGTCCTGCGAGTTACACCTCCTGCCTTCAGAGCCAATGGCTCCATGAGCAGCAAGAGCAGCAATCCCAATGGCTTTTTGGCTTCTGGCTTAGTTCCCTGGAGACGGATGCTGTTTCTCTCTTACGCCAAGCACAGCACCTAGACAAAACACCTGTGGGTGCCTTCCAGAGAAGGAGTACAAACCAGCCAGCCCCAACATGGGAGCATGCTACAGACAACAGCCCTACGCATTCACTGAAAGCCCGAGGGAGAACGGGTGCGAGCACACTGGCCCAGACCCCACTCTCCCAGCTCCCGTGGGAGGGCTTCTGGTAGACCTCCTGGTGGCACCTGGGTTTTGGCCACTGTGTGATACTGAGTGTTCGACTAGATGGGCCACTGGCCTGATCCAACATGGCTTCTCTTATGTTCTTCACACAATTGCCAGGCACCTGGGTTTTGGCCACTGTGTGACATGGAGTGTTCGACTAGATGGGCCACTGGCCTGATCCAACATGGCTTCTCTTATGTTCTTCACACAATTGCCAGGCACCTGGGTTTTGGCCACTGTGTGACATGGAGTGTTCGACTAGATGGGCCACTGGCCTGATCCAACATGGCTTCTCTTATGTTCTTCACACAATTGCCAGGCACCTGGGTTTTGGCCACTGTGTGACATGGAGTGTTCGACTAGATGGGCCACTGGCCTGATCCAACATGGCTTCTCTTATGTTCTTCACACAATTGCCAGGCACCTGGGTTTTGGCCACTGTGTGACATGGAGTGTTCGACTAGATGGGCCACTGGCCTGATCCAACATGGCTTCTCTTATGTTCTTCACACAATTGCCAGGCACCTGGGTTTTGGCCACTGTGTGACATGGAGTGTTCGACTAGATGGGCCACTGGCCTGATCCAACATGGCTTCTCTTATGTTCTTCACACAATTGCCAGGCACCTGGGTTTTGGCCACTGTGTGACATGGAGTGTTCGACTAGATGGGCCACTGGCCTGATCCAACATGGCTTCTCTTATGTTCTTCACACAATTGCCAGGCACCTGGGTTTTGGCCACTGTGTGACATGGAGTGTTCGACTAGATGGGCCACTGGCCTGATCCAACATGGCTTCTCTTATGTTCTTCACACAATTGCCAGGCACCTGGGTTTTGGCCACTGTGTGACATGGAGTGTTCGACTAGATGGGCCACTGGCCTGATCCAACATGGCTTCTCTTATGTTCTTCACACAATTGCCAGGCACCTGGGTTTTGGCCACTGTGTGACATGGAGTGTTCGACTAGATGGGCCACTGGCCTGATCCAACATGGCTTCTCTTATGTTCTTCACACAATTGCCAGGCACCTGGGTTTTGGCCACTGTGTGACATGGAGTGTTCGACTAGATGGGCCACTGGCCTGATCCAACATGGCTTCTCTTATGTTCTTCACACAATTGCCAGGCACCTGGGTTTTGGCCACTGTGTGACATGGAGTGTTCGACTAGATGGGCCACTGGCCTGATCCAACATGGCTTCTCTTATGTTCTTCACACAATTGCCAGGCACCTGGGTTTTGGCCACTGTGTGACATGGAGTGTTCGACTAGATGGGCCACTGGCCTGATCCAACATGGCTTCTCTTATGTTCTTCACACAATTGCCTGGTCGTCTGCAGGGGTGAACTGTATGGAGAAATTGGCTGCGCAAACTCTCCCTCCCCACGATTAGTGACATTTGGAAAGCAGCGTCACTGGCCACAGGAAGGGGGGGAGTACACACGGCCACTTCCACTGGTAGGGCACACCCTGCAGATGACCAGGCGGTCATGTGGAGGCAGGGGACGTGGCCAGCACACTTGTGCCCACTTTCCTTCTTCTTGTGTTCAGCAAATATGTGGGCCTGTTGTCTGTGTTATGATAGAGGAATGCAGGATACCCCGATCAACATACAAGGGGCACTGGCCCTCAGATCGGTTATGATGGACCCCTTGCTGCTTCTTCACTGCAAGGCAGATTTCCCCGCCCAAATGCTGTTCCCCACTCTGACTGAGCAGCCCCCTTAGTAGTGTACTTTTATAACAGAATTATAACTTTATGCATGTCCCACCCTGTGACAGAGAAGTTGTTTGGCTTTTGCCCAAGCCAGAGATCTATTGCAGTGAAGCAGGAGCCCCTCTTATAAATCCCTTTGTAAACTGAACTTTCCTTCATGTCAAGTGCCAACAAGAATGTTGATTTTATTGAACGGGCGCAGTTGGGTTAGGAATAGGCCGGGGACGAGAAGCTGAGGTCAAGGTTGTTGTTTATACAAATTATGAGAGTACTTCCTTCCTGCATTTAAATACCTTCCTTGTGGGCTAACAACTTTCCTTTTTGACTCTTGAGGAGTCTAAGGCCGTTCCCCTTTTCACACAGACCAGGGGTCCCTTCTGAGTTGAACCCACCGAATCACTTCCCAAGAGACTTTTGTCTGATTCCCTCTGACAGACACGCCAACTCCAACACCGACATGCCAAACGGCTGAAGCCTTTCCCCCTCAGCACTCAGCAGCTCTTATTCTCCTCAGCTGGCACTGACCAGTGGGGGGGGGGGGGGGCCCGCGGCAGTCAATCAAACTGTGCTTTACAGGGAGGCACTGACCCCTCATCTCCCAGTTCACTGCTTTTGATGCACTAAGCATCCTGGGTTTGGAGGTCAGTTCGTCACATAGGTGCCCCCCCCCCTTTTATGCTGGAAACAAAACCATAAGCACCTCAAATTTCAGGCTGAGGTGAGTTTTCCTGCACGGAGACAAATGACGACCACTGGGCCACCCGCCAAGAAGATCAAGAGACACAGCAAATGCTTCGGCTCAGTCTTGAAGCCACGGCGTGCGACGTTTCTTTGTTTTTGTTGTTCAGTCGCACAGTCGAGTCCGACTCTTCGTGACCCCATGGACCAGCTCCCGCCAGGCCCTCCTGTCTTCCACCGTCCTCTGCTCAACTTCATGTTCGTTGCATCCATGACACTGTCTAACCATCTCCTCCTTTGCCGTCCCCGTCTTCTTTGACTTTCAATCTTTCCCAGCATCAGGGTCTTCTCCAGTGAGCGCTCCCTTCTCATTGGGTGGCCAAAGTCTTTGAGCTTCAGTTTCATTATCTGGCCTTCCAGGGAACAGTCAGGGTTGATTTCTTTTAGGATTGACTGATTTGTTCTTCTTGCAGTCCAAGGGACTCTCAAGAGTCTTCTCCAGCACCATAGTTCAAAAGAATCTATTCTTCGTCGCTCGGCCTTCTTTATAGTCCAACTCTCGCAGCCATACATGACTACTGGGAATACCATTGCTTTGACCATGCGGACTTTTGTTGGCAGGGTGATGTCTCTACTTTTTATCACGCTGTTTAGGTTCTGCAGAACTGCAAAAAGGAACTGGCTTTTTTGCAACCGTGCGTGTGTGCAGTGGTCGCGTCTGGGGCTCTCGTGCACCTGTGTGAAGAGACAAAGCATCCTGCGAGCCCTCTCTTGCTGCCTCATTCCCCCCCCCCCCCAGTTTCTTACCTCTGTGATAATGGCCTTATGCTGTTTGATCCTCTTTAGCTCCTCTTCACAGTTCATCGTGTAAGACCTGGACAAAGGCAGAGGTTTCCCGTTCCTGCAGAGAACAGACTGGCATCTCCCCACGTTTGCGGAGGTCAAGGTGAAGCATCCACCGGGGTCTATCGGATCGTGCTTTATGTGGCAAAGGACAGCGGAGCCGCCAAGCTTCTGTCCGGCAGTTCCAAGTTTCCTAAAAATTTCAAGAAGAGGAGGAGGTTGGATTTATACCCTGCCCTTCACTCGGGAGTCTCCGAGCGACTGACAAACTCCCTTCCCCTTCCCCTCCCCACAACAGACACCCTGTGAGGTAGGCGGGGCTGAGAGAGCTCTGAGAGAACGGCCCTTGAGAGAACAGCTCTGACAGAACTGTGGCTTGCCCAAGGTCACATCAGCAGGTGCAAGCAGAGGAGTGGGGAATCAAACCCGGTTCTCCCAGATTAGAGTCCGCGCACTTAACCACTACACCAGACTGGCTAGCTGCATAGTGTCGGATAGTACTTACAGCCTACTCAAAGAGCTGGGGAAGAGAAGACTGTTGAGCTCAAGCAAAACAGCGATCAACAGAAAGAAGGAACGAACCCCTCTGTTATCCGGAGTCCCCGACATGGGGCCTATTGGCGCCGGGGGGGCTCACTGACACCTTCCCTGGTGCCCACCAAGTACTTTGACAAAGTGGGTGGGGCTAAGTGGGGCTTTTGCCCAACAGGGCTTTTGATTGGCTGTGCAGATTAAAAGGCATCCTGCTAGAGAGAGCTTCTGCCCAAGCTGTTGAAGAAGTACAATTAGAGTTATATATACAACCTCGCTCCCTGGCGTCTTGTGGTTGGCTCTGCCTCCTGCAGCAGCCCCCCCCCCCCCGTGTCAGAATTCCAAAGGCGCCCAGGTTGGGGGCCCCTGCTCTAGACAAAAGATGGCGCATTGTTCTGTGTATCCTACTAAGCTACCTAGGTTGGGAGCAGCTCGGATTCGACGCGCTCGCTCTGAGTAAGGCTGCCACACAAAAATGTTCCCACAAGCAAAGTGCAAATAAGGTAAAGGTAAAGGTTCCCTTGCTCGAAAGCCAGTCGAGTCCGACTCTAGGGTTGCGGTGCTCATCTCCGTTTCAAAGCCAAAGAGCCAGCGCTGTCCGAAGACGTTTCCGTGGTCATGTGGCCGGCATGACTAAACACTGAGGCGCACGGAACGCTGTTACCTTCCCACCGAAGTGGTCCCTATTTATCGACTTGCAATGTCTTGCTTTCGAACTGCTAGGTTGGCAGGAGCTGGAACTAGAGACGGGAGCTCACTCCGTCATGCGGCACACTTGGGTCTCGAACTGCTGAACTACCGGCCTTCCACAGCCTGCAGTTCAGGGTCTTAACCACTTGAGCCACCACAGCTCCAAAAGTGCAAATACTGATTTGGAAATTCTTCCCAGGCAAAATGCCTGAGGAATTTCAAGGGAAGACAAAAGCATTTTGATAAGGCGGGGCGACATTCCTCAGGGAAGTTCCCTCCCATCCCTGTGCACTGGAAAAAGCAAGAAAGGCGTTATTCCATAGCTCTGCTGCAGGGCAGCCATCCCCGGTTCCTACGCCACGATTCATAGCAACCTGATAAACTTTTCTGAGCCCAGCTCTGGGTGGTCAGCCATGTTGGTCTGAAGCAGTAGGACAAATTTAGAGTCCAGTGGGGCACCTTGAAGACCAACAGAAGTTTATTCAAGGTATGAACTTTTGTGTCCAAGGCACACTTTTTCAAATATATTCCAGTGTATTTGGGGAAAGTGTGCCTTGCACACGAAAGCTCATACCTTGAACCAGGGCTATTTTTGGGCAGAAACGCACAGGAACGGAGTTCCGGTCGGCTTCAGAGTTGGCCACGCCCATTACAGCCAAAACCTCTACAGAGTGAAGGCCTGGAGAGTGACCCCCCGGCGACTCCAAGGCAGGCAGGCCAGGGGCGGCCCTGGAAAGATCAGGAGGTATTTAAATGCCTCCCCCGACCTGTCCAAGGGCCGGCTTACTTGGGCTCCCTGCAGCCGTGGGGCGCCCAGAGAAGCCAAACAAAGGCAGTTTAAACTGCCTTCCCTTGCCTGGGCTCCCTGCAGCCGTGGAGCTCCCAGACAAGCCAAGGGAAGGCAGGGGGAGTAATCTAATATGCTAATAAGCTGCACTGTCAGGGGTGCGGTCTAATATGCTAAAGAGTTTCTGTTGTTGGGTGTGGCCTATTATGCTAATGAGTTCCTGCTGGGCTTTTTCTACAAAAAAAGCCCTGCCTTGAATAAACTTTTGTTGGTCTTAAAGGTGCCCCACTGGACTCTAAATTTGTTTTTCTAAGCACAAAAATTGAGAGGGAGGGAGGGAGGATGGTTTGACCATCAATTCGTCACTCGAATTTGGAAGCTGGCACATTGCCTAGGCTGCTATTCACATCTTATACCAATAACATCCTTTTGAATTCTATGCATCTCCTCAAAAGGGGCTTTCCATACCATCTCAGGGTTGCCAAGGCTGTAATAAAACACTGCACCAAAGTGGATCCCCCCCCCACACACACACTTCAGAGGCTGCAATCTGAATGATCTGTCAATGAATTTGTCAGGGCTAACACTTATATGGGCCACAACAGAGTTTGGCACAACAGTAAATACAGCTATTTATCTCTGATCCGCACAGACAGGCCATCTATCTTCTTTTGGGGGATTTTTCCGAACAAACACAGGAAGCAGCTTGCAACATTTATCTTTATAAAAGTCCGTACGATGAGGCTCTTTGGAGAATTTAATGGCGGAAAAGTGGGCTGTGACAAACAGCACGGACATCAGACAGAAGCAGCGCTAAAGCCTGTTTGTCCGCTACAAGCAGCGGACGGGAAGTGCAGCCGTGAAGTCGCTACCAAGCATGGCAAAGGGTCACCAGCCTTTTCTCTCTGCTCTGCCAAGGCTGATCTTCCTTAGAACATGCAACAAGATGGGCATGGTGGGCATGCTCTAGGATGCAACTCTGACCCATGTGCCACAGTGCGGCCCCTGCAGACCCACAGGCAAGGGTTCTCTGACTGGCACTCGGGGAGTCCTTGCAACGTGAACAAATGTGGAAAAGGTTTTGTGTATAAAGGTAAAAAGGTAAAGGTTCCCTTGCTCGAAAGCCAGTCGAGTCCGACTCTAGGGTTGCGGTGCTCATCTCCGTTTCAAAGCCGAAGAGCCAGCACTGTCCGAAGACATTTCCGTGGTCATGTGGCCGGCAGGACTAAACACCAAGGTGCACGGAACGCTGTTACCTTCCCACCGAAGCAGTACCTATTTATCTACTTGCAATGTCTTGCTTTCGAACTGCTAGGTTGGCAGGAGCTGGAACTAGAGACGGGAGCTCACTCCATCATGCGGCAACCCGGGTCTCGAACTGCTGAACTATCGACCTTCCACAGCCTGCAGTTCAGCGTCTTAACCACTTGAGCCGCCGCAGCTCAGTGTATAAAGTGTATAAAGCTCAGTGTATAAAGGTAGGAAGTATGAAATCCCCCTGAAAAAGCCACGATGCACACGTGGAAGTGGAAATGTTATACGGAGCTGCTTTTAAACCATGATGTTAAGGTGCATGATGTTAAGGTCCAAAGACATCGGCAACCGGGAGCATAAAAGCCAGTGGTGTTCATCCAACCATCTGCAAACACTGCAGGGCAGGATTTCCCCATCTCCCCCACCTGCTTCACCTCACTAAGTGCCCCCCCCAGTTTTGTTTGGGGGTGGTTCCCGGAACAGCACAGAAGGCAAAACGGGAGTCTGCTGTGAGTTTGTGTTGGGGAGGGGGGGGGGGAGACCGACAGAAATCACCGACCCCTCTTCCGCAAACAGAAGTGCCTCTCCACCTTGAGAAACTACCGAGATGGATAATGCATATCAACGATTCTGCAACATTAAACTCCATCATGAATGTTTTAACTGTAAAGAAATTATTTTTAAAGAATAAAAAAGTACTAAAAAATAATTTAAAAATTAAAAGACCCGAATGTTTTCACAGCTTTTCTGGACAGAGCCAAGGTGCCTTCAATGTGCAGGACCTCAATGGAATTGCTGAGGAGTCGGGGTAGAACGGATAAAAGGTAGTTCTTCACCCAAGGAGTGATCAACACATGGGATTCACTGCCACAGGAGGTGGTGGCGGCGGCTACAAGCATTGGACGGCTTTCAAGAGGGAATTGGATAAACCTATGGAGCAGAGGTCCATCAGTGGCTATTAGCCACAAGTTATAGATAGGAACTCTCAGTCTGGGGCAGGTGATGCTCTGTATTCTTGGTGCTTGGGTGGGGCAACAGTGGGAGGGCTTCTAGTGTCCTGGCCCCACTGGTGGATCTCCTGATGGCACCTGGTATCTTTGGCCACTGTGTGATACAGAGTGTTGGACTGGATCCAACATTGGCTTCTCTTATGTTCTTATGTTTAACTCTTGGTCTGGGGCAAGTGATGCTCTATATTCTTGGTGCTTTGGGGGGGGCAAGAGTGGGAGGGCTTCTAGTGTCTTGGCCCCACTGGTGGACCTCCTGATGACACCTGGTATCTTTGGCCACTGTGTGACAGAGCGTTGGACTGGATCCAACATTGGCTTCTCTTATGTTCTTATGTTTAACTCTTGGTCTGGGGCAAGTGATGCTTTGTATTCTTGGTGCTTTGGGGGGGGGGGGGCAAGAGTGGGGGGGCTTCTAGTGTCCTGGCCCCACTGGTGGACCTCCTGATGGCACCTGGTATCTTTGGCCACTGGATGACAGAGTGTTGGACTGGATCCAACATTGGCTTCTCTTATGTTCTTATGCCTGCAGAAGAGCCCCTTCCCATGGCTACCACACTGTGCAAAAAAAAAGGTTTCAACGCCATCTTCCAATGTTGTACCACTATGACATTTGGACACAGGAACTAGATGGAGTGGGGCTGGATCCTACCATGCACAAACACAGTTCTACTTCTGCAAGATATGGCACTAGATATTGTGAATCCCGATAATGTCTCCTGTGACTGGAAATGCAAATCGGAATACTTAAAGGTCGTGCGAGCCGCCAGCACGGTCTTTTTCATACCTTTCTGCAAGTGCAGTGGTGCACGCGAGACTCTCCCGCTGGATCCAACCCGTGACTAGTGGCACAGTGGATATACCCAGGGCTATTTTTGGACAGGAACACACAGGAACGGAGTTCCGGCTGGCTCCTGAGTTGGCCACGCCCAGCAGGAACTCATTAGCATAATAGGCCACACCCAACAGCAGAAACTCATTAGGATTGGCTACATTAGGGGTGTGTGGCCTCACATGCAAAGGAGTCCCTGCTACAAAAAAAGGCCCTGGGTTTTGACAACAAACAAGGTAAACAGAATAAGAAGGGAAAGGTGGGTGTGGCTGGATAACCACACTTCTGGTAACATGGGGGTGTGGCCTAATGTGCTAATGAGCTGTGCTGTCAGGGGTGTGGCCTAATATGCTAATGCGTTCCTGCTGGGCTTTTTCTACAAAAAAAGCCCTGGATACCTTTCTAAATCAGCCTGTGAAACAAGCGTATGGAAAACGTCCAGATGTTTCATGCATGATGAACTGACCTCTGCATGACGATGAACGTGTTGATCATGTACTCCTCTTCGTTCTTTGTTTTCTGCAGCTCCTCCGCCAAGATGTCACTCATGGTACACTGGAGCAGGTAAGGGACTTCCACGTTACGGTCTCCGTCAAAGACTCCGTAGAGGGCCTCCCTGTTCTCGCAGAAGTTGTTGGCGGAAAGGGCGGCCACGCAGAGCCTGTGGGGAAAGGGGGATAAAGGACACCCAAAGACACAGCTTAGCAAGCGGGCGCTTCCCGTGAAAGTCTGCCATGAGCAATGTTCCCTCTAAGCTGTGGGGTCTTGGGAGCAAAAATTCCACTTTGTGAGCTACTGGCATTCAAGTTGTGAGCGAGCGATTTGGCTGCTGCTTCAATTAGTTTGCTCTGGAGCCATCCTTCCTGAGCTGAGACGAAAATGGGTGAGCCGGAGGCTAAAAAACTGTGAGCTGGCTCACCCTAACTCGGCTTAGAGGGAACACTGGCCACGAGGCTATCAACACACACACACACACCAATTTATGAAGCACGCAGGGAAATTAGTTTCAACACAAGCGTGTTGGTCTTTTCCAGCCCAACCGGGAAAACGCATAACCTGAAATTAAATCCATTAAAATGAAAACTTGGATCGCTCTACATAAAGGGCATACAATCAGGAGGTAGGGGAGAGGGATAATTTTTGGCTGGTTGGCTTGATACCCAAGAAATAACGAGAAAAAGAGAGACCCACACTGGCTTAATGCCAGGACACCTACACCGCAGAGAACGAGGTTGCACTTGCCTGTAACTGTTGTTCACCGAGTGGTCTTCTGTGCAGGCACAGAAGCCACGACGATGAACATAGCCAATCATGCTTCTTCCTGTTTGTTCTTCCCCTGGCTGCAACAGACCCGAATGATTTAGAGACAGAGATGGGAAGAGTTCCGGGTCTAGTATCAGGACTGCCCAGGATTTGGGGGGGGGGGGGAGGAGAGGGAGAGGACGTCCAAACCTCCGGGGCCCCTGGGCCACTCTGGGGGCCCAAGGAACTGGCCGAGTGTTTCCCTGCGGCATTTGGACTGGGTCTGTGTCCTACGAGGAATGGCCCGGAAGGAATTTCTGTCTAGGGCCCACAGTGGCTTTCAGCAGCCCCCACTAGGACTGACGAGGCCCAGGGTTTGAATTCCACAGCAGCCACGAAGTCCAGCTGCCAAAGACGCCGTCCAGAGTTGCAAGACTCCATCAGTGGCTATTAGTCACAAGGTATAGATAGGGGCTCTGGGGCAAGTGATGCTCTGTCTTCTTGGTGCTTGGGGGGGGGGGGGGCAACAGTGGGAGGGCTTCTAATGTCCTGGCCCCACTGCTGGACCTCCTGGTGGCACCTGGTATTTCTGGCCACTGTGTGATACAGAGTGTTGGACTGGATGGGCCTTTGGCCTGATCCAACACTGGCGTCTCTTATGTTTTTATGTTAAGACATGTAATGGTAACTGGAGTAAGGAAGGGACGAGGGAGATGACTTCGTTTCTCTTTTCTCTTCCAGAAGCATAGCTCCATTGCGAAAAGAGGGCGGACGCGTCCCCTTCTCCCCTCCTGGCGCCATCCCGCTGACCCGGATCCCGTAACCCTGGGAATGACTTTGGGGGGAGGGGAGGCAGAAGGGGCTGCAAGAACGGAGAGGAACACGGGAAAGCTTCCGTGCAAGGGATGACTGCATACACGACG